AATCAGAGCAATTGTATGGTATGGAGGAGAATTAGAAGGTTTCTTGATACTCGATTTAAGGGAATTTGTACATTGGAAATGTTATGTCATATTAATGAAAAGAGCCGCATGATTATGTGAGAGACTAAGAATTAAAGGAAGAACTTAATTTTCCTATTACAAATAGCTGTTTATTGTTAATACTCCTACCCTCACCGTTTTCCTGGTAACAATGTGGTCCTTGGTATGTCAATTGTGGACTCTGTTTTCACTGCCTATGTTGGCAAATGATAGGTGCCTCATGAAGATATCCTCTTATTTGTACCATCAGTTTGCATTTTCTCCATTTGCTATACTTTATCTCCTTGATTTTCAGTTATGATTGAGTTAGAACTCAATCTTGCTTTTGTGTGTCTGTGCTTTGGTATCTTTGCTTGCAGACCTCTGACTTTGCTTTTTTCTTCGATTGCTAAAAGTTCAATTCATATGTTTATGTCTTCTACTGCAGTAATTGCAGTTCTTTTTATATATGCTTGCTAATAATTATATGTGCCCTGTAACTGAAGAAGCTTTCTATACCTCAAAATTTTGTTTGATTGTCTTAATGTTCTCTCATCATCTAAAATTGAGTTTCACTTTTAGGAATTTGGCAAAGAGTGGTTTAAACTGCCAAGTTCTGAGTTTAATGTCTTCTCATTTCCGGAAGCTTAACATGTCGGGGGAGTTCATGTGGTTGCACGCCCTTATCCTTGACCACAGTAGTACTCTGAATAGTTTCCAGGAGGATTGTTTTTCTTGCATGCCCAACTTAATACACCTATCAGCGTGTGATACAAGAGTTGGAAATCTCTGGACAACAATTGCAGCACTCTCTAGACTTCCTTCTCTGTTGGAACTTCGGTTCCAGAGTTGGCTGGGTTGCAATGGCTCTGGGCCTTCTATATCATCTGACGGATATTGCGGAAGTGATTTCAGTCAGCTCAATCCTTACAATGGAACAGCCTCCATTCATGATGTACAAAGAGATCTTAAAGTGAACACAGAAGCGGGTTTCAGAAACTTGTTTCCACTCAATAATGTAGTTATGGACAGGGACTTTCAAAATCCGGTAAAAGATTCCTCAGATGATAGCGAGATGGACTTTTTAAGTCACATAGTGGAACATGGTTACTACAAACCATCATCTAGTACAACTCGGGGATTGAATCGAGAAGCTGATCAACAAGATGGGGTAAGTGACATTATCTTTTTCCACTAGCATCTTGGAAATAATGTAGCTGGTATTGTGTTACTTATGAGGTCTAAGTGTTGAATGAAGAAAATAATTCTCTCTTCATACACGATGGTAGTGATTGGAAATAATCAATTAGTAGCACAGTAAATATCAATCAAGAATATCAAGAATCAAAATCTGGGCTCTCTTTTTTATTATTATGCTTATTGCTCTCATCTTCTAAACTAGATTTGAGCCATGTGTTCTAATGATGTTTAACTCAAGCATAGGTGTAAACCATCAACCACAAAATTTATTCTGATATCATTTTGGGTTTTAATCTGTTTAGCAGGTATCTTTTGGCACGTTACTGAATCAAGATGAAGAAGAAGAGTCAGAATGTGCTTGTACAAGGCATATTGCTGATGCTGCATTGAAATTTGTTCCTTCTCTTGCATCACCAATATGCTTTGAGAAGCATTATAGAGAATACATGATAGCTTCACTGCCCCAACTAAAAGTTTTGGATAACTTGCCTATCAGAAATATTGACAGAGAAAGTGCTGCAACAACATTTTCACAATATTTTGAATATCTACCATACAGAAGGAAGCACAAGGAGAGTGTGATTAGCGTCCTGCAGAATCGTGAACTGAAATCAAGCTACACCAATTTGCAGACTCCAAAAAGAAAGGCTTCATGTCATTTGGGAAAGTCTCAATATTTCTACACTAGGTCTCTTTCTGCTGCCAAAGTGGGATCTTCTGCTTGGCCTTTCTTGCATCCACTTTCTATTTTGAGCAGGGATCTGGTAGATGAAAAAAGGAGATATCGTCCTAGGCAGTTTGAGTATCACCCATCTATCTCTAGCCTGATGGTCTTTGGTACTTTAGATGGCGAAGTGATTGTTGTAAATCATGAGAATGAGAAAGTTGTTAGCTATATTCCGTCTCTTGGAGCAATGAATAGTGTGTTGGGACTCTGTTGGCTAAAGAAACATCCATACAAGGTATGTGACTGCTGTATGATTTTAGCGTATACCAGTTTTATATCCCATCAGTTAGTTTAATATCTTTTACTTTCTTCCCAGGACTATCAACATTATTCTAGAATGTTTCATTTTCATCCTTGAGCTCAGTTTTCATTTGCCTTGAATAAAGTCCTTTTTGTGACATTTTATATTCATTGACTGCAAACATTTTATGCTTGTGAGAGGTGGCTGTTTATCAGAGTAAAAAGTCATATGTTGAGATTTTAAAATTGTTTCTTGTAATTCTCAAAAAATTATGGAAATATCTGCACTGCATTTACTAGATCTTTCATTTTTTTGTTTTTCAATTGTATTACCAAATATCTATATCTGTCTGACTCCCGTTGCTTTCTTTCAGCTCATAGCTGGCTCAGATAATGGTTCACTGAAGTTGTATGATATTCAGAAAGCACCAACAACAGTTACGGCCGCATATAATGGCATGGGTTCTGTTACTTTTGATGTATTTGACCAATTGACATCTGTTCATATCAACTCTACGGATGAAATATTTCTTGCAAGTGGGTACTCGAAAGATGTTGCATTGTATGATATTGCTAGTGGAAGACGCTTACAGGTGTTCACCAATATGCATCAACAACATATTAATGTTGTCAAGTTTGCAAACCATTCCCCATCTCTTTTTGCTACATCTTCGTTTGATCAGGATGTCAAGCTGTGGGACCTGAGGCAGAAACCAATTTTTCCTTGCTATACTGCTTCAAGTACCAAAGGAAATGTGATGGTTTGCTTTTCTCCAGACGATCACTATCTTCTTGTGTCAGCTGTTGACAATGAGGTACCTTTAGATTAGTTTAGTTTCTGTCCATGTACTTTATGTGCTTGTATATTCTGACTGATCTTCAGATAATCTGAAACCCATGTGTCCGCATGGGAGTTCTTAGTCTGCTCAGGATCCAGATCCTAATCATGCATACTTGGAGATTTCCTTTTGATAAAAAAGAACTTATGAGAAAGGAATAGAAAAATATAAAAGATAAGGAAAATTTTCCTCCAAGAAGAAGAAAAGAAAATAACCAGACAAAAAGGGAGAAGGGTCGGGACAAGAAAACAGGAATCAACAGGGAAAAAGGCTAATCTCTGTTTAAAATAGACAAAGAAATATCTTTATAGAGGCCATGCACCTTAGCGCAAAGAGATGCCAAAAGAGTCATCTTATCTCAAAGAATCTCAGAAGGAGACAAATGATCCTGGAAATCTTTGTGTTTCTCTCCATACAGAGTCTGACAGACAGAGCCTGCTCCAAAACAATCTATACTTTTTTTTTTCTTTCCAACACTTTGAACTTGCATATTTGAAGCTTGTACACTGAATGTGAATTCTGGCCGGTAAACATGACCTTACCATCCTTGGATTAAAAAAAGGGTATAGAAAACAAGAAATAAAAATGGAGAAAACTCCTGAGAGTAAAGTACTTAATTGAAAATTTTCTTATCATTAAGTCTGAACATGCACTGAAATAATGTCTGATCTGTTGGTTGTCATGGGAACTGAAATCTTAAGAACTAAGTCTAGTCATTTGGCCTTAGTATAAGTAACAAAGAAATGGAATATTAATGGGTCGAAGCAGCTATGGATTGTGTTCTTGAGGGAATTACAAACATAGCTCCCATTATATATATGTTCTTTTTTGACAAACTTACAAGGAGAGGGGTTATTATGGTCAATAGGTGCTACCTCTGCAATCTAATTTGGAATCCACCAACCATCTGCTCCTCTGATGTCCAGTATCTCACTCGCTTTGGTCTCAAGTTTTCAGTATCATGGGTATACATTGGGCTAT